CAGGCCAGAGCTCTGGGTGTTGTCTGTGCTCTTCAGGTGGCACTTAATTTTTACGGCCCTGCGGGGTGGGTTCTTGAATAGCTCCATCTCCTGAGAGAGTTACAGGAGAGAAGCCAGGCTCAAAGGGACGAGGTCACGTGTCTGGTCACTTGGCAGCAGAGCTGAGGCTCCAGCTCAGGGGGTTCGTGTTCAAAGCTGGGGCTGCAGTTTCCAGCGTGAGAGAGGCAAAGGACATTCCCACATTCCTGGGGGTGGGAAGGGGCTTGCGGCAGATCCCGTGGCTGTGCAGAGCCTGGCCGGGAGCAGAGGGGCTCGGGCAGTGGTCACGGCTGCCGTGGAAGCACGCGGCCCCTGCCCGGCAGTCTGGGAGCTCGAGCACATCGGCGGGACTTGCTTGTACGGGATGCTTGTATCTCTTACGCTCTGAAAGCCACGACCTGCCATGGCTTCACCTCGCCACTCTCCTTCCGAGGAGGTGAGAAGCGGCACTTAGATTTCTCAGCTGCTCCTCCGTTATCTTCGGGCAAGTCCGGCACCTCATCAGCTCCGGGCCTTGGCTGCAGGGAGTGCCGCTTTCTTCTTTGGAAACCTTATGGCCACGTGCACTGCTCACCACAGTGCGAGGCCTCATTTTGTTAATTAGAGTTGTGTTCCTTTGTCTGTGTCCGGGTGTTGGTTACATCTCTGAAGAGAAGTTCGTGGGGTGGCTTTAATCGTTCCTTCTGGGGTGGGAAGCACTGACTGGTTCTCTTTAACGTTGAAGCCAGATCACTGTGTGCCGAGCACTCTGGAGTTCTTGCTGAGCTCTGTCTCCATGCTGCCAGGGAACCCAGACACACAACTGGTTAACAGTAGAGCATACACCGTGCTGGCTGCCCTGAGCAGCGTCCTGACGCTGATGGCGAGGTCTCCTTCGGGGTGTCATTAAGGGGGCTGGGGCATGGAGTCTGCATTGCCTGGGCAGATCATGCCCCAGAGTGAGCCCAGGCGTTGAAGCAGGAGGCAGGTCCTGTTCCTGCCCCACCGGCTGTGTGACCCAGGGTGAGTCGCCCACCCTCTCTGGGTCTTAGATTTCCTGGCTGTGAAGTCAGGGAGCTCGACTGGCCCATCGTGGAGCTGCTGGGATTCACTCGTGGTCTCCCCTCTCCCCTGGTTGGCACTTGGGTCTCTTATCTGTCTCTCTCTGACAGGGGACCACAAAGGTGGCTGCTTCCCGTGGCCCCCACACGTCAGGGCGGTGTCTGTGAGGACGTCAGGGACCTGGAAGCCTGGAGCCCCGCAGGTCTCTCATGTGACTGTGGTGCAGGCGTAGGCAGCTGGGTCTCATCCGAGGACTCGCCTGGGGAGGGGGGTTGCTCCAAGCTCCGGACGAGGTTGTGGCAGGACGTGGTTGGCCCGAGGGCCTGGGCTCCTCGCTTCCCTGCACGTGGGCCTCTGAGCGTGGCAGCCAGCTTCACCGAAGCCAGTGAGATGGGAGAACCTCAGATAGTGTAATCGCAGGACAGCCCGCAGCACAGAGGGTGCTGCTGTTTGATGGCCGACACCCAGGGGAGGGGTCCTGTAGGCCTGAGGACTGGGGTGCTGCCTGCCTGCCACGGGCTGTCCTACCTCCTGCCCTCGTGCCACTGGGCTGACCTTCCACGGGCTCTGCCTCCTCCACCTGCTTTTCCTGTCTGACACCCAGCACCACCCCCAGTCCAGTGGGGTTCTGTTTCCCGTCTCTGCCTCATTTACGCAGGGATCCCTCACTGCTGTCTTCTGCTGATTCACGTTCTGTGCAGCGCCCAAAACCTCACGATCCCTTTCTCTGGCTGCTCCAGCCGGACCAGCTCTGTTTTCTCTGGCGCGTCTGGACCTCCCTTGTTATCTCTCACCGTGGCCTGGCCACAGGTTGGCTGCTGTTGGTTTGCGGTTACTAAATCTATGGCCTCGGTGTCCTCATCTGTGAAATGGGTCTGTTAGCATGTATATCACATGCCTGCAGTGATTCCGCTGGGACAGGACCACGCAGTAGCTGATGACCGGTTGGTGTTGCCGGCAGAGTTGAGCGCTGCCTCTTGTGGGGCATGCTCACCTGGCAGCAGGTGGGTGTGGTGTGGGCCGGGCACCGACCCTCCGCCAGCTTCCCCCTCCGCTGGACTCGGTGTGGCTGGGGCCACTCCATGTACTTGCTCATGGCTGCACGGCTGCTTGCTGGTTGGTCGGCGGTCTTTAGTTACAAACTTGCTTCCACAAGCTGGCGCCCGGGAGACTGGTTCTGCCGTGTGGGCTCCGGGAGAAGGCAGCGCTTGTCTCCAGGGAGTCCTGATGCGGTCAGGAAGGACACGGGTGCCGAGAGCTTGGTGACAAGGCTCACCGGTCCTCCCTGTTGGTTCTCCGCCAGCCTCGCGGAGAAGTCGCTCCGTCAAACGTACGTGACCTGTCTTCTGAAGGTGCGACCTTATGTTTTTATCTTTCTGAAGAGTTTTGATGAATCTTCTTGTTTAATAGAAGATTAATTAGGGCACTGAGTGCTGATTAGTTTGAAAATATATCCAACCCTTTCATATTCCCTGATCTTACTTAATTCCATCTTCAGAAAACTGAAATTGCACCTGTAGAAAGTTTGTTTGACTTAATTTTTTTCCATAACAGGAAATTATGAAAACATTTCTTAGCTGATACTGTGTATGTGGAGGTTAAAACGAGTTAGAACAGTCAGGGCCAAGCATGAGCTCACCGCACGTCTCTAACATACATTTTAGAGCTGTTTTTAGCATCTGAGGTCATGTTGCTCCTCTGGAAAGTATGCTGGTCGCTGTGCTTGGGACAGTTTGTCTTCACCTCCTGCCCGATGCGCTTGCTCACCGCCCTTGTGTGGCTCAGGGTCTGGGTCCCTGTCATGAATTACCTGCCGGCAGTTCTCTTTCCTCCGTGGCTTGGTGGTGGTGCCTCCGGCTTGGTGGGTCCCCTGTGGGCTCCGTGTGGGACCACCTACCACAGACCCTCATGCCTCGCGCTCTCCACGGGCCCCAGTGCCCGGGTTGCTGAGATAGGTGGGGAGGAAGAGAGGGCAGAGCCACATCCTTCATCAGCACAGCGTCGCTCCTGGCACGGTTACTGCGCACTCTGTGTGTTCTTGTTACCCCACCCAGTTGGCTGCTGCCAACTGGTCCTGCTGGATCTTGACAGGCTGAGTCAGGCCACATCCCTCCCTGGGAATTTCGTGATGAGTCTCAGGGTCAGCTTGGTCTTCTGTGGGTGTCTGTTTGTGGGGCGTCAGGCCCTGGTGCTCTGGGTGCCCCTGCCCCTGCCTGGGGGCCGTGAGGACGCTGGTCTGGAGGGTGCCAGAGAAGCTCCGAGTGGGTGTGGACAGGTGTGGGAGTGAGGTGTGGGGGGCCTTGTTGTCGGACTCCCCAGTGCACATGGTTCCTGACATCGCCCTGAGAGCCTGTGGGGTCCTGGCTCACCAGCAGTCCCCTTCTCTGTTCCCCCGGCCACTCTGCCCCGTGACCACTTGCCTGACCTCAGCTCTTCTCACCACTACAGGATTGGCCTCAGGCCCTGTCCTCCAGTCTGTCCCATGCTGCTGCCCACGGTGGCTCTCTGTGGCCCGCCAAGATCTCACGGCAACCGTGTCGGCCTGGCGTTCACGGGCACCGGCGGCTTTCATGCTTGACCCTGCTGAGCTCAGCCTGGGAAGGCCCTCTGTTCTCCCGTCCTGTTGTGTGTCTCGCCTCTGCCTCTGTCCCCGGCCGCTGTGCCTTCCATTTCTGACTTTCCGCATCCTCGGCACACCACGGCCTTCCTGCATGATATAGGCCACGTCAGTAAGGCAGGAAAATGGGGTTTTTTTGGAGAAAGATTTTCTGGGACAAGTCGAGCCAGGAAACCTTGAGAGAAGGGGGAAGTGCCTCCTGTGTGGGGCAGGGGAGTGCGTCCCGGGTGGGCGGCCATCGCTGCAGTGCTTCCTAGAATGAGGGGGTCGCTTGGAGAAGGCCATCTTACAGAGGTGTCCTCCATCACGTTCCTTAGCTGGGCCGGTCTCCCCGGGGAGGAAACGGGTGCTCTCCCCCAGGTTTCTCTTTGAATCCCCTTGCACTGCCGACAGACTCTATAGGGCCACCCCAGACCTGTCTGTTTTGGGTCTGGGGGCTCACCCTGACCCCTGCTGCAGGGGCCCCGATACAGCACCGAGATGGCCGCAGAACCCAGGGCAGTCACAGGGGATGCTCACTGCTCCCTGTGACTCCCTCAAACCTCCCTCAGGCCCCGCCCAGGGCTCCTTTGAAGAATGAGGCTGGTGTTCAAGGTAACATGAATAAGGTGATGCCCCCAGGGGATGGATGGCACAGAGCTCTCCCTGCCTTTAGCAGTCACCATGCAGGCAGAGTCAACCCCAGCTCCGAAGAACGATGTGGCCAGTGTGATACGTCTTTGTGCATCAAGTGCCACGTGGTCCAGTGGGCGTGTGGGCAGGGACACGTGTGGCAGGAAGCTCTTTTCCCCACTCAACAGCTGGGAGCCCCTCATCTCTCAGGACGTGGAAGTGCTGGCCCAGAGACAGCTCCAGTGGGTCTCACGAGGTCTTGGCCAAACCTCTGGGGAAAGGAGCTGGAGGCCTGCGATTGGGAGGCTGGGTCCTGAGACCAGCATCCGTCCGGGCACGTGTACCCCCCTGGCCCATGTGTGCCTTTGGGCAAAGCCAGGTGTTTGAGGTGTTGGGTGGTGCTGCCCTCAGGTTTGAGCCGATGATCCAGGCACAGCCTAGCAAGTCCTGTTTCATACAGGGCCTATTAATATACTTTCTATTTTTTGCCGTGCTCAGTTTTGTAGTTTTTTTCCAAATAAGGTTCAAACAGTTTTGCCTTTTAAGGGAAGGAAACAAAGAGTTTTTAAATTATTTTCAGTAATTATTTTCAATAATATCCTGTGAATACAGGATGTCCTCTTAAGTTTTCAGAAAAAGGTTCACATTACTGTTTTTTTCTTCTTCCCTTGAAACCCCATCAAATTCGCAGCTGTCCAGTTCGGCATCCCTGGAAGGGAAGGGGCAGCTGAAGTTCACCTCGGGACGGTGGAGTCCTCACCACACCGGCACCCAGGTGGCCACTGCGAACGACACGACCATCCGAGGGTGGGACACGCGGAGCATGAGGTCAGTGATGGCGTGACCCTGCGGACGCACCTCTCTCCATCCGCTTGGGGGCAGTTCCGAGTCAGAGGTACCTGGGGCACCTGGCTTGTCTATCTTGGCCTCGTTTTTCTGCAGGAAGGCATGCATCTCGTTTTGTTTCTCTGTCCCGGCTTGAGCTCGCGGCCCCGTGGCAAGGGGACGGCATTCCTCACTGGCTTGTTTACTCTTCCGTGTGGCTGTCCCTTGAGTGAGTGCTGGCCGTTTGTAGTGAAAATCAGGAGTGGGTTTCGAAACACCTCACCCAGGAGAGGGGGACCGCCGGACGCTCGGTCGCTGGGATTGGCGAGCACAGGTGGGCAGGTGCAGCCCCACGTGAAGTTTGTGGACTTGCCTGTGACAGTTTCTGGCCCTTTAAGATCCGCCCCTCTCGGGGAAGCACGGTTTGTCCTGTAAGTCATTATGCTCAGCAGCCAGCACTTCTAATGGAACAAATAAGAGCGATTTTTCTGCTCCAGGTGTGGTTTGATAGGCAAAGGAGTGATGGTGTGCACATCTGTTGCTGTGGCAACGGGAGCCGTGCAATTGCTCTTAAGATACAGTTTACCCCTCAGCACGCCGTAATTTATCACCGAGCTGCAGAGACGGATGTCACCAAGTAACGTCTGCTGCCTTCAAGGGGGGGCACAACTTTAAATTTAGGTCTGCGGCCCCTCTGAAAACTCAGCGGCTAATAATCAGTCGCACTTCCTCAGGGTGTGTGTGTCTGCACGCGGGCTGTGTGGTTTTGCTGCCCGAAGCTGGGAGCGGGGGGCGCCGAGCCTGAGGAACGTGCCGCCGGAGAGCCATTTCTGCGAGTCCTGGGGCCATCTTTCCCTGTGTTTGCATTGTTCTTTAAAGGTTGTGAGGAATTTCAGTATCTCAAGACAGGACGTTACAGCCCCCACACAAAGACAGCAGACGTGGCTCTGGGTGGCGGCACCTTCCTTTGCCCGGTTCTGTCCCCTGGATGATTCCTTGCTGACTGTTATTTCTCCTTTTGCAAACGGCTTTGGTTTTTATTTAGCCAGGGTGCTTTTAATGCTGCTTCTGGAACGTGTTGTGCTTTCGTGTTGAAATCACTGCCCCCAGGGCATGGAGAACACCCTCGGCTGGTGCCCGTGGCGTGTGTGACTATCCGCCCAGCGCCCCACGACCTGACCTGCCAGGGCTTTAGTTTTGTACAGTTGCCTGTTTCACTTGGAAGGTCTTCCTTCCGGTTTGGGGTGTCTTCTTTTAGGAAAAGATAAGGATATTGGAAAAGTGCAGGATATAAAAACCATTTCAAGATATAAAGTGGTTTAGGGTCAGGAAGTCCAGCGTGGGAGACGATGGAAGGGAGTGAGTTTACTCACCTCGAGGGTGGAGGGACGTGCACTCGGCATGATTGTCAGACGCGTAGGGTGATTATAGGCGGCCGGGAAGCCTGGGGAGAGGGAGTGCTTGTAGGGGAGGCTGAGTCACACCCCGGGAGGAAATGCACAGAGCAGCAGTGGCCTCGCCCCCCTGACCGGGTGCAGCCGTTGTCCAGCCTCACTGGATGACCTGCCCCTCTGTTTGGGTTTCTGACATTAGAAGGACGTGATTGACCGAACGTTCTCATGTCACACCCTTTGAGGAGCCGCTTGGAGCAGTGGAGGTCACGGGTTCAGCCAGGGCTGTGCGCGCATGTCTGTGTGTGCGTGTGCCTCGTGTGCACGTGTGTGTGCTTCGTGCGTGTGTGTGCACGTGTGCGTATGAGCACACACACCCTAAACAGCTGAGTGACTGATCGTAAAACTGCCCTGTGTCTCCGCATTGCACTGGGCCGTGGTGGAGATGTGTTGGCACTGCGAGGGGCTGAGAACGGACGCAGGACAGCCCAGCCATGACACACACTGTCCCCTTCATGGTTTGTATTGCTTTTCTAGTTTCCTCTTCCCTCCCTCTGTCTGTGTCTTCCGACTCCACCAGCATTGTCCTCGCAGCCTGCTGCTGACCGTTTGCTTTTCTGTCTCCGTGTCCTTCTGGAGCTGGGTCAGCTCTCCTGCCTCCGTCCCCGCTCCTCGTGCTGTCACACTCCTGCTGACTTGCTCTCTTCTCGAGGGCCAGGTCACGTTTGGGACAGTTAGGAGCCAGCATCGCCTCCACAGCTGCGGGACCACAGACGTGCTGCCAGAGAAGCCTCGGCCTGGGCCCCCCTGGAGAGGCACTGGGGGGGATCACCAGGCCCCCTGGCACCTGAGCTGCCCCGTCGCACGGGGGAGCCCCAGCTTGCATGGCCATGGCGGGCCGAGTGGTCCCCCAAGGCCGGCACTTGATGGGGAATAGGAGATGGGGCCAGCCTGCAGCATGCGGTCGTCAAGACCCGCTTCCTGTCCCGTGTGCTCCCCTCGCTTTCTCCCCAGCCAGATATACTGCATCGAGAACGCCCACGGGCAGCTGGTGCGGGACCTGGACTTCAACCCCAACAAGCAGTACTACCTAGCCAGCTGTGGGGACGACTGCAAGGTGAGGTTCTGGGACACCCGAAGTGTCACCGAGCCCGTGAAGACCCTGGAGGAACACTCCCACTGGTACTGACTTCTCTGCATGCTGGGTCAGGGGAGGGGGCTTTGTAATTTATTTTGCTAATTCCTTTCCCATTTGGAAAGGCACAAAGCAGCTTAGTTTGTGCTGCTGTGAATCAGTCAATCAACCCGGCTTTATTTTTCCTAAAGAAACACTAATTCCAAATCCGAATGTTTGTGATTTATAAACATAGGAAAAGAAGAAAAACATTGCATTCTGTGTTCTCCCGAAATAGTGCCGGTTCATATATGCAAAAACAGTGTGCACAGATGTTCACGCGGCATTGTTTGCCGTGTTGGGGAGCGGGAAGCTGCCCTAATGCCTATCAGTAAGGATGGGTCAGGTCTGTCTGTGATGCCTGTGAAGTGGGGACGGTGCTGTGGGTGAGGAGGAGGCTAGCGCTGTGTGTGGGGTGGACAGTACCCAAGAGCAGTTGGGTTTAGGGGTTACTGCCTGCCAGGCATTTAGTGCTAAAGTAGGTGAGAGATCCATTCCAGACTAGTGTGCCTGGTATAAGCTAACTTCTATTCCAGTGAGGCATGTGTGTGTATTTGGATGTGTAAGTGCACGCTTGTGTGTGTGATTGCTTGTGCGCACATGTCCTTGTGAGGGTGTACACGCGCCTGTGTGTGCGAATGTGTGCGGGTGTGCACGTGTGCTCGTTAGGGTGTGCGCGCGCTTGTGTGTGATCGTGTTCCTCTGCGCACGTGTGCTCGTGAGGGTGTGCGTGCGCTTGTGTGTGTGATTGCTTGTTTGCACGTGTGCTTGTGAGGGTGTGTGCATGTTTGCACATGGGCGTGCACCTCTTCATGTTTACATATGTGCACTTGTGTGTGTGTTTTTGCTGCTTGTGTGTGTATGTGGAAGAAACGTCTAGAAACTACTGCCAGGAGTCGTTATTTAGGCGAGGGTGGGCACATTCCAGGAGAGTTGACTTTTTCTGGTCTGTTGTTCCTAAGTTCTTTGAATTACTTACTAGAAGTCATGTTTCTGCAGTCAGGACATTTATTTTTTCTTTTTTTATAAATTTAAATTGAATTAATTAACATATAACGTATTATTGGTTTTGGAGGTAGAGATTGCAATCAGGACATTTAAAAACCTGGCATGCTAGAGTACAGTTTTGCCAGATTCCGGAAGCCTGGCTGGCAGGGTGAGCCGCAAGCCCTCCTTTCCCTCCGAGGTTTGCGCTTCCATTTGGCCTCGTCTCGGCTGGCCGGGACTCAGGAGAAGGTTGTAGAGAGACACGCAGTAAGCCCGGTCCTCTTCTGGGAACTTCTCACGTCAGACCGTGCGGTCTGCGATCCACGGCCCGGCGACCCCGCTCTTACCCCATCCAGGAAGGTCCGAGTAGAGCTAGAACTGCCTGCTTGCCTCCCAGGGTGTGGAGCATCCGCTACAACCACTCTCACGACCAGCTTGTCCTCACGGGCAGCAGCGACAGCAGGGTCATCCTGTCCAACATGGTGTCCATCTCCTCCGAGCCCTTCGGCCACCTGGTGGACGACGATGACCTGAGTGACCAGGAGGAGCGCCGTCCAGAGGAGAAGTAAGGGCGCACGCTCTCGGTGGTGTGGGGGCTCCCTTCTCCCAGACCCACGCCCCCCACCGCAGTCCAGGCGGCTCATGTCAGGAGCGTCCGCGTGTGTGGTCGGGGCGGCCTCCGCCACTGCCGGCCCCGGGCTCACGGTTCTGCAGGACATTGGAACCCGCCACGTGGGCCTGGGGGTCGGGTTAGGTCAGCTCACGCCATCTTGTGTGGGTTCTGAAACGTGGACTGGCTCATGTCTGTCCGCTTTCTTGCTGAGCACCATACGGGGGACTTTAAAGACTGTCACTAGTCTTTAAACGTTTGCTCGGGTAATCATGAGAACTTGCTAGCCCCTGTGGGCGACAGATTGTCATCGGTGTCCTCTTCTCAGGCTTGGGTTTGAGATGTGTGGTCCAGTCGTTGGCCAGTGGCCCTCACTGTGGCGGGGTGCAGACTCCAGGCCGGCACTGTCAGCCCCAAACCCGGGTGTTCCCCGGCCCTCTTTCCCCGAGGTTCCGTAGGGAACGTGGGAAACCTTGGGGGCGTCTCAGCAGTCGTGCCTCTTGGTTGCGAATTCGCCAATCCTAATTGCATCTGTTCAGGGGCTAGCTCTTCAAACCAGGGCTCATGCCCCCAAGAACAGTGGGGTTCTTGGGGGCCCGGGACTTGTGCGGGTCCCACTCCTGGTTGGTGCAGAGCAGGGGCGCCCCGGTCCGGGGCTCGCATCGGAGCCCCCGGCTGCGAGCAGAGTGCACCTGCAGCTCTGTGGGCGGGAGAGAGAAGTCGGGAGAGCCCGTGTTCTCTGTCAGTGACGTGGACTCTAAAAGGGGACATTTCTTGTGTTTCGAGTACACTTTTTCTCGTGTGGGGGAGCTGCATGCCGAGGCTCACGGCTGCTGGATCCCAGGGAGGGCAGTCTGGAATAAGCCCCAGTTGAGTGATCGGTCGAGCCCGACGGTACAGCCAGGGCTTGTCCTTCTGATTGAGGTTCTTTACTGTCCTGCTGTCCGAATTCTCCCTGCACATGCCTGAGCTTGGCCTAACTTCACTTTTGAGAACAGATCTCAGTATTGGGGCCTTTTCCACAGCGGTCTGTTTTCTGTTCAAGCACGTGGATGCACAGTTTGGAAACATGGTCCTGGTGGTTTTGGTGCAGTGACCTCCCGACCGTGGTGCCGTGGGCTTTGGCGCTCCTCACCGGCCTCTCTGCACGCAGCCTCGCGGGGGCACAGCTGGTGCCCATGTCGCTCACGGGGTGGGAAGCCCGGCTGATGCAGCGACATCGACATTGGTGTCCCCACAGTCCCGCTCCCGTGCTCTGCCCATGTGACTTAGCAAACTCAGGAGAACAGAATCCCCAAGAGGATTTTCATGCGGCGTTGGTAACAAAGCCCCAGTTGGGCATGGCTGGTCCGCGTCACAGGAAGTGGATGGACCCAGAGCACTGGAGGCCAGGGTGGGGCCCAGAGGGCGGTGTCTCGTTGGGGAGAAGAGCATCCTCGGAGAGTCTAGGAGCGCAGAGTGTAGGAATGGGAAGAAAAGTGCCAGAGGAGCCCATGCCCTTGGGGCGGGCTCGGGGTGTGGCCGCTCAGAGTGGACACGCGTGATGTCCTGTCCCAGTCGACAGGCAAGTGCTGTGCTCTCCTGGCTCCCGTGGTGTCCCACGGGTGACGCCATCGGTCAGGGTTCCTGGAGAAGGAGAGCGGTCGCTCCGGTTTGAAGGGAGGTGACACAGGAGCCCAGGCGGAGCGCGCCGTGAAGCCTGAAGCCAGGACCAGGGGCCCCTTCCTGCCTAGCCAGTGGGGCCTGTGTGCCCCGGGCCAGCTCTACACCCCTGCGCAGGGCAGGGCCACGCTGGCTGCCCCCTGGGTCCTTTCTGCCTCTTGTCACCCTTTCTTCAGCCCTCATGGGTGTTTGCGGTCACCGCCCCTGAACCTCGGGGCCCCTGGCAGACTCGCAGGCACCTGCTGGTCCCCAGCCCGAGAAAACAAGGTATCACCCTGGTGGTAGCGTGGCTTCTCCTACGCCGCTGCAGGACCCCGCTCCTCACGGCCGTGTGAGGGTGTGTGCGGCCCAGGGCTGGCTGCTGTCAGTCTTCCCATCTTGCAGATGAGAGGAGCGAGGCCCCGGCCGCCGGCCCCATGCGGGATGCCCCACCGCCTGGCTCATGCGTGTCTCTGGTGCCTTGCAGGAGCCAGGAGCCCCCACAGGACAGCGTCATCGCGACCTACGAGGAGCACGAGGACAGCGTGTATGCCGTGGACTGGTCCTCTGCTGACCCCTGGCTCTTCGCCTCCCTGAGTTACGACGGGAGGCTCGTCATCAACAGGGTGCCCCGGGCGCTGAAATACCACATATTGCTGTAGCCCCATCCTGATCCGTCTTTGGCAGGTTCTCGAAAACGTGTGGCTCTTTGGAGGTAGTTTTCCAGATAGACCCGTGTCTGGGAGAACCAGCGTTGCCTGCCTCTCTGGCGAGCCTTCGTACATGACGAGGGAGCTTCTGCCAGCAGCCGCTGAGCCTGCCTGAAGTCTTCCTCACTGACCACGGGAATGGCGTCCTCACCGGGGCGTGAGCCGTCCTGCTGTGGATGGCTGTCTGCCTGGTCTCTGTTTTCTCTCCCTGGTCTCTGTCAGGGTGTTGGGAGTTCCATTAAAAAAAACAAAAAGAACAAAAAAACCCCACTTTGTTTCCATAATATTAACTCATTTTTTCTTGAGATTAAAAATAAAATAAGCAAGGCTACACAGGCTCCTGGCTCGTTCTTTCAGGAACTCTGCCCCACGCGGCCTTGTCGCCTGGTCTTTGTTACGGTCTCTGTCCTGCCCAGAAGGAAGGCCGATGGGCGGAGGGGCCACCGCACCCCTGCATCCAGGCCCAGGCTGTGTGGGGGCCTGACTGTCTGTGTGCGGACCATGGCATCTGGGCGCCTGGCCTGGGCGCTCACCATGACAGTGACCAGGTGTCTCCCGTCGGCCCCGGGTGCCCGGTCATGGGCGCTGCTCTGTACTGGGTCCTGCTCACATGACGCCGATGGCGTTGCAGGTGCAACTCCTCGTCCCTGGAAGCCGCACGCATGCCCTGGGTCAGTGCACACTCGCACTTGTGAAATGCCTTGCATGGTACTGACCCCCGCTCCTTGGTGATCCTGAACACAGAGCATGTGGGCTCTTGCCTAGTCCTCCTCTGTGGGCCCAGGGGGAGAGGAGGACAAGTGGGGTTTGAGGGGGGGACAGG